CGTCGCGACGGTGAGTGTTGCTGTTGTTGTTGTTGTTGTTGTTGTTGTTGTTGTTGTTGTTGGTGTTGGTGTTTTTGTTGTTATTCACAATGGCGACAATGGCATGCTACTAAACGCTCCGCTCCTTCCTCTACCGACGCTCCGCTCCTTCCTCTACCGACACCCAGTCCACTACCGACGCTCAGTCTACCGACGCTCCTTCCTCTACCGATACCACTACCGACCGACTACCACTACTGCTGGTCTATTTTGTCTTGAAGTCAGCGACTACGTGGGTAGGGGCAAGACTCTTGGCAACAACAACAACAACTACTACTAGGCACCGAACCGACGAGCAACAACAGCTGACGAAACTCGCAACTACAGGAAACTCGACAATTCAGATCGAAACAACGCGACAATGAGGATCGCTACAAGTCCATGGTTCTCCAAGTGGCTGCAAAGTGTCAACAGATACCCATTCAATGAGCTGAGGGTGACAAGGCAAGGATTCAATTGCAAGTATGTCATTTGTGGGTACAACAGTGATGAGGAGGATAACTTCTGTTTGGCCACAACAGCATGGAAGTGACCGTTCTTGAGGAGTTGATATTGCAGGAGCATGCAAGCCACTTCTCCTGCCATGACCGACATCATGGATTACATGTTAGCTACAGGCCTTCAGAAAAGTCCAAAATGGTAAAGAGCTGTCATCTCCACCCTCTCTGAATGCTGGAGTCGCCGTCGCCACATCCTGTGAAAGGAAGGACATCTTCATTGAGTGCATCTACTGGTTAGTGAGGGAAAGGGTCAGTGAGAGCTATGAGTTGTCCTCCCTCGAAGGACAGAGTGTGATGGATGCTTGGCATTATTATTGTTGCCACTGGATTGACTCAAGAAGAAGATTTCCTTCAAGAAATGTACTGAGATGAGTGAGACTATGGTTGTTGATTTCATTGGCATTGACTCAGATGAAGAGTGAGACTATGGTTGTTGATTTCATTGGCACATGTTACTGAATTGAAATGTAAGTTAATATCTAGATTACAATGATGCAACAATGCTACCCTTCTGCTGACCATATCAATGTATTGGACCGGCAATAGCGTCATGTGGTGGTCTTCCTTCCTGAGTCAACCATTGGCAGTATCTCTGACAGCAGCCATTTGGTGGAGGAGGTTGCTGGAAAGGAGCTGGCAGTATTGGTTGGATTGCTGCTGCATTAAGGCAAGTTGCATCATTTGAATCTGGTGTTGTTGCTGATAGAGAATCAGGTTGCCAATGTAAGAATTTCTTGTTTGTGCTACAGGAGGCTGCTTGTGGAGGTGGATTGGGTGGAGGTGGATTGGGTGGTGAGGTTGGAGCTGTGGAACGGTTGTGGTTGTGGATTTGGCAGTGGTTGTGGTTGTGAAGTTGCCACTGGACGGTGCACAATGTACACAAGCAACAATCATTTGGTGCATACTTTTGTCTCTGTGGCTTGAATCCCACAATGAACTGAAAGAATCCTCTCCATGTCTTGGCAATGGCTCTGCATTGGAAATGGCTTATCTAGACCAACAGCTTCTGCCATCTGATTCAGGTAAGTCAACTCTGAATGGTTCCAATATGGAACCACCTTCTCCCATCCAGCTGGAATTGACCTCCTTTCTTCCACACTGATTCTTGACAGAAGGCTCTCTTGTGGCGAATCTTGAGGTTGTATCTGCAGTGCCAGCAAGGTTGAGTGCATCTGCTAGGGTCCTTCTCATCCACCATTGCCAAAGTGGGCAAACTTGTCATGGAAAGCCTCCAACTTTGACTCTCCTCTCCTTGATAGTACTCTGGAAGGTTGTGCTTGGAGTTGGGAGAAGGTTGGATTGTGTCATACATTTGCTGTATTGGTAGTGGATCAGCCAAGTGAATTGCTTTCTCGATGCAGTTGTCTACTGCTGGCTTGGTGTCAGGAGTGAACAAGGTAAAGTTTTTGAAAGGATCCAGTCTTCCTTGGCCTGGTTGGCTGCTCTCACTGGCAGTGACCTTGTACCTGCAGAACCACTGTTGTATCCTCTGCCTCATTGTTTCTGGTTCTCTCATCTTCTTCCTTAGGAATTTGGAGTATCTTTGACGGAAGACCTTGGAGGCTTGAATTCTGAGATCTCCCATGGAATAGTGTTGCCATCAGCTGATAGTAGACCATGTTTCAGAGCATAGAGAACTTCTCAATAGTCTCTGGTAAGTACTCATAAGGCAATCCAAGAGAGCATTCAGGCTTCGAAGTATCAATGTGGCCCTTCCTCAAAGTTGACAGGATTCTCTTCTCTAGTGAAACAGGCCCAGTCTTCCCTCAATAGCTGGAAAGAGACTCCCATAGTCATCCTTGTTGGGCCAGGTGTCACTATACATGGCACTGGATTGAAGTGACCTCTCCTTGCTAGTTGCATTGCTGCATGGGGAAGTGGATGGTCTTGGTTGTAGGAACCAGCACTGCTGAAGCTATCTCTCCAGTTTCGGTGGCAGCATCCCAAACAGGCTGCCCAACCTCTTATGTAGTTCTTGACTGGGAGTATGGTCTTGGCAGAAGATACCCTTGTTGCAACTGACACTTTGATCTCTCTAGTGTGCCATATTGGTCACTTATCCTCCATGGTTCCTGTTGGATGCAGCAGCCTTATAAGAGTCACGGATGTGTCACCCAGAGGAGGGATTGTTGATGTAAGTTCCATCCTTTGGAAGGAAGGGATTAGGATCCTCTCACTTCCTTGCCAATAAGAGTAGTATGACATCATTGCTCTCACATACTCTCTGTTGATTGCATTGTAGATGAGGCGGCTGCAGAGGTCACCATTACCATAGGTAACCATTATAGTGTCGAAACACTTCAGTAGCTGTTCTCTCCAAGTGGTAGTCCTTCTTAGCAAACGCATACTTCGATCACTGGATAGAGGAGTGAGCATGCTCTGGGATAGACACCAGGACCTCTGCTTGGTTTGCATCGAATCTTCTTCTGCAGCAGCTACACACCATTGACATGACCATACACCAAAGAGGGTCCAGCCAATGCCAAAGATGGGAACAGAGTCTTGTTCGGGACCAGTTGCTTCTATCATTCTGGAGTTTCCAGAGCATTTTCCATCAGGACAGGGTACAGTGATTCCACAATCGATTCCAGTCCACTAGAAGGAGTTTTGCCCAACAATGGAGTGGTAGTGAGGGACTCGAATTGGTCCTTTGTGGGTGGGACTGTCATGGTGAGTCCTTGGAGTGTTGCTGGAATAGCTCCTGGTTCTTTGATCTGGTAATGGATTCTGACATGCTTCTGCCATTGCTATAATTGCCAGGGGCTATTTTGTCTTGTGCTTCTCCACAAAGGTGGCATCCTCTACAAGAGCTGTGACTTTCTCGCAGAACACAGCTGGAGTAGCCATGGCCTTGTACTTTGGTGTTGCTTTGGCTGTGGCTTTGGCTGTATTTGTTCTGGAGCAAAGAAAGCTTCTCATTTTCTCTTGTGGAATGCCTCCAGCTTCCTCTCTCATTCAGTGGAAGAGGAGCACTGAATTGCCTTGTGAGTCTCCTGCTTTCTTTGATTGTCTCCATTGTCAGCGCATTCAAAGGTCCTTGCCCTTTTGTTATTGTATTCTTAATACAGAAGACAGAGTGTGATCTTTTGGGGACTCTGAGCCCGTAATGTCTGGCCTTACAGACCTGGCAGTGCTTGAGTGGATCAAAGACTTCTGCTACCTCCCCAGCAACTGTTGTTTGGGCTCCTTCTTCCCGCGCTCTCTTTGATCTTGGGTTGTTGTTCCTGGCGAGTTCGAATGCTCTCTTCTGCTGTGGATTTCGATTCTGACTCTGGCAGCCCATCTCTCCATTTTGTGTTGTTGTTGCTGCAGCATCTGCTGCTGCTGGTGGTGGTGGTTGCTCCATGATCGATTGGCTGAGCGAGTAATGACCGAAAGCCATTGCCAACGATGACGGTCTGTTGCCATTGCCGACGATGGAATCTGACGTTTCGATCGAAAAGAAAGCGAAAATACGAACTTGATAGCGCATTTACTCTGTAATAACTATAAATGGTACGTTAAGTATATTTGAATTTTTGCGACATACTTCCTGACGTATTAGGTTGATTAACCAATCAGATCGCTGCCTTCCACCCCTTTTCGGCCCACCTGTACCAGCTACCTGGTACACGTTGCACTGGCCAACGGCTGATGGTTGGTGGCTACATGCTACGTGTATGCATCCAACATTTAGGTTATGATTGTGTGGTTGGTGGGCTTTGTGGCAAAGAGATTGCATGGGTGTGCAGTGTCCAGTCGGTTTGGACTCGAGTAGCATGTACCACCATACCGGTACGCTCCTCTCTTGTGGTTACTACCGCTACATGTACTGGTACGGAAAAGGGTTCATAATAAGTACTAGAAATGCTACTCTAGCTAGTAGTAGCTACTCAGAGTAGTAGAATCTCTTAACGTAGCATTTCTTTCCTCTCGTAAACCTGACTAGCTACCGGTACAGTAGCGGTACCAAGCCAGACATTGTTCAGATGTGAGCGATTTCTCGTTTTGTTGGAGTTTCAGGCTGGAATCTTCTCGGGACCAACGCGGGTAACGGTACCAGAAATGGAGGCTGTAGCTGTGTCAATTAGACATCATCGTCCTCGACATCATCAAAACATGGTGGTACCGGTGGTGATGTACTAGCTAGTACTGTATGTTTCCTGGCCCGTGTTCGTCTGCAGTTCGACACGTCGCATGAATTGTACGGCGATTGGATGATTGGAGCCTTTATGTGGCAGTATAGGATTTATGGAATCATACTGTCTGGGCACAGTAGGGTCTCATCTTCTTAAAGCGGTCCTGGACCAATGACTTTGAGCAGATTAAGACTAATGGTTTTTAAATAGTTTGTCACGAGCGTTCCAATAATAGGCACGAAGCGTAAATATGATGGTGTGAGGATTTATAAGACGATCACGATGCCAATGAATTCTCGCCAGAGAAGTGCCACCAGTATAGTACACACTACTTACTTCAGCTCCCACTTCCACCGGTACCTGCATGTCAAGGGACCGCTCAAGGCACATCCAAGAACAAACAATCCAAGCCAACAACATCGAAGGCCATCATTTTTTGGCTTGGCTTGATCCATCAGCGTTTGCTACTACTACATATTCTCACTAGTAGCGTATTGTTTCAACGATGACGGACTTGTTGGTTCCCCTGTGTAACACGAGTACGACGCTTCGTCCTATTAATAGCAACAAGAGCAGCCATGGCGATTTGGACGATTCTTCGTTTGCCATGAAGATGGAGGAAATTCAAGGCGAGCGGATCAAGGAAGCCATTCAGAAGTCCTCCAACAAGAGATTGCTAGAAAACTCATTCTCTGGATTGGCAGCGCACAGCTTCGACCTCATCGTCGACAACGCCAACAGCAACGCCAACAACAATAACAATAATATTGCGATTCAACCGACCATTCCGGCGCGCCGACCTGGACTCACGCGATCCAGCATGTCCACAGGAAATGTACTCTCCATGTCACAGTCCGAGCAACTTCATGACGTTCGACGAAACACCATGGAGACTTCGGAACACGGCACTGCCAGTGTTACAGCTAGCAAGACCACCATGATGAGACCCAGACGATCCGTCACCATTGGACCAGGAGGGAGTTGCACTGCTGCTGCTGCTATTACCACTCCCAATCCCAACACCAATACTCCTGGAGGAGCATCTACCAGAAGACTCATGAGACGAGCTGCTTCAGTGGCATCCATGAACCCTACCGGTTCTACTAACAGTAGTACTATGGCCAGTGCCAGTAGTGCAGTCCCGTCGTCATTGCTGCTGTCTCCAACGATTGAAGAGTCCGAACCCAAGCTCAGAAGATCACTGACGTCCAACACACGCAGAAGTTCCAGTAGAACTTCTACTAGAAGACTGCGTTCAAGTGCTACCGGGACTGCTGCACCCTCTTCTTCTGGGCTTGGACTTGGACATGTACAGAACAAACTCAAACAGACATGGGACAGTCTCAGTAAAAGATCACTCATGAGTGCTTCTTCCAAGGCAAAATCAGAAAGACACATGATGTCCATGTCTCTTTCACACAACACCATCAACAACAACAACAACAACAATACAAACAACACCACAAACAAAACTCAATCCAGACGATCCAACAGAAAAGCAAAGAAAGACCTTCTCAAGGCGGCCAGTTCCAGAGACTTCAGTTCCAGAGAATTCCACAACAGCGGCTCGAGCAGAGAACTGAGGCCTTTGAGCTCCAGAGAGTTCAGAGCTGCCTCCAGTGAATTCCAAAGTCAGGACAACACACCTGTGCCTGCCCCTACTGGAACTTCCAGGAGAGAAGCCAGAATTAAGACCAATAGAAACAGCACCAGGATGGCTTCGTCTTCCAAAGAAAAGAACAGCCCCAAAAATAGCAGAGAGCTCAGGAGGAAAAGCAAGGATAGCAACAGCAACAGCAACAACAACAAGGACACTAAGGTCAAGGACAAGTCCAGCTCCAGCTTGCCTCCTCCTCTCATGGATGCTAACGCAACCGACATTGCAACCACAACCAACGCCGAAAAGGACAAGGACAAGGAAAGAACCCCCAAGAGGCCTTCACGCTCCATGAAACGAGCGCAAAGTCACTCCGTCATCAACACTGCCACAAACTCCAATGCTACCGGTACACATGCACAGCAGTCCCAAAGCAGCATCAACAACAGCAGCACCAGCAACCTCAAAAAGGGCGCGTCCAAGAGTCCTACTCCCAGCAAGCCAGCTTCCTCGTCCCCCAGAGACAAGGACAAGAACTCCAGTTCCAAGAAAGGGCCCATGTCACGGTCCAAGAGTCCCTCTCTTACCGCAATGAACAGCCGTGACAGCACTAATAGTGGAACTGGTGCCAGCAGGAGAAGAAGGTCCATGTCGCGATCCAAGAGCCCCTCACCACCTGTAAGAGACTCAAGCACTAGACGAGGCAGTATGGGAAGAGCCGAAACCAACACCCGAAGCAGTTCCAAACCACGACGAGCGTCGACTAGTAACAGAAAACCAAGACTCACCAAATCCAAGTCGGTGGGAGACAACTTACTTAGGTCGGCTGTCACCAATACTAATGACACCAACAAAGCCGTACTAGAGACTGACGGTTCCAACAAGCAACAATCGCATCAAGAACTGAACCCAAAGGAACGTGCGACCACGTCTCCGGCAATGTTGTACTCGCCGAGGAGAACCACGAGAAACACTCTCGGCGCCACGCCAGAAGCCGATGATGCCACCATTATTAGCTCCTACACTGCTTACACTCTCGACAGCACCAAGGCCGTTCAACACGGACAAATCAACGAACCCACCAAAGTGGTGCTCAAGGATCTCCAGCATACCAAAAAGCAAACACGAAAGTCATCCGTTGGGTCGACCACAAGCAAGGATCATGATGATCAACAAGACAATGATGAACACGCGGAGAAACAACATCGGACTTCTTTGGAAACTCGTCAGCATGCTGTGAGCGGAGCCAATATGAAGAACAAGTACAATTCGATCAACAGCAGCAACCACTCGTCTTCGACCTTTGACATGGCATCCGTCAGCCTGGCTCCTACCGGAATCATTAGTCGCACCAAATAGTATGCATGTGGTTGTTTGTCTGTCTGTCACGCTGTATACTACTAAACCATAACGTACTCTAGCTACAAAGACAAAACAACTAGTAGACTTGAAAACTAGATTCGAACTTAGGCCAGTCAGGTGGTGTTGCCGATGTGGTAATAGCGTCCCGTTGCGCTGGAGTGTGGAGGACCGAATGCATGATCAGTCGCACAGGTAAATTTCTTCTGGATGTGTCCACCCTAATCCATAGAAACGTCCGGCAATATCCCTGACGCGGCACTCTCGTCTCTGGAACAGCTCACGGGAGAACATGACAGTAGCCACAGCAACATGGTAACGATTCGCCTGCTGCCGGTTTGGATGCGCTCCGACCATGATTTTCACTCCAAATGACAAGCTCGCCGCCTCTCTTGTTACTGACGTCCTGGTCGTTCACGACGACCGGCAACAAGACCACAAGCGTTCCCACGTGACCAGGGCCATCCATACGATCCCGGTGCGGATGAAAACGCCCCCTCTCTTTGTAGATTAAGAGCTTGTTAGGCGGATCGACAAGGTGACGTCTTCCAGCTTGCCTGGGTCTAAATAGGGGTTGGCAAATCCCAAGAGGGCATCTCGTGGAGTACAAGTGAGAGCTTCTGTCGCGGTGGACAGCAATGATTGCACATAGCCGAGAAACGCTGGGTTTGAAAGCTGTGCTTCGGAACCGATGTCCAAGGCGTAAGAGTTTCGACGTGAAAGGTCGATTCGTCGATTTCCATTGACCCCGAGCGATGAGCGGGTAGAGTAGAAAACTCTTACAATTTTCTCGAGGGCGGAAGCCTCAAGGGGCAACGTAAGTTCCAGGTCCAGGGATGGGACACAGAGTTGCGGGTCCACCTCGAAGACGCCACTGCTTGCCAATGATCGATGTTGCGGCGCTAATTTGGTGATTTCATCAAACACGCCAAGCACTTGATTTCCGACTCGCTTCATTCCTTTTGAACCAGCTTCCATGAGAACTTGAAGCTCATTTGTGTCCCATGGCCCACATTTTATGTCTTCTTTCGTAAGCCTCGCTTCCTTATGAGTCTCTTGGCTCCGATGCTGACGGCGTGGACGGGCATTGGTTTTTGTCCCTGGGAGACGGCGGTGTCGGCTGGCAACGGCTTTGACCCTCTTCCAAAACGTGGGCTGGTAGCCTTTCCGACAAGGCAACTCTTGCCATTGTGTCAGATCACCGGCATGGTTGTTGCCCATGAGGAGGCACGTGTTTGCGTTTGTCGCATTTGGGTTGTAGGTTGTAGAGTATAAGAACTTGTCAGATTTCGGGGTTGGTCCGGGGTCTAGCAGGCCAAGCGATCGCAATGCTTTGCGGTTGCGCAACCTAGAGTTGAACAAGCTTGAAAGAGCCAACCAGATGTCCGATTGATCGTGGAATGACGAGCCACCAGCCGACGCCGTTACCACTTGTTTCCACACACGGCGGGAACAACGCTGCAATTGTTTGTCGAAGTGCAGAGCTCACACGGGCCGCAGTAAGAGAATGGTATGATGGGACAGTAATTGAGTGATCAAGAACGTCAAGTCTTCCTCATGGTTTGTAAGGAGTGTTGCGAGATTCATTTCGGCTCCTTGTATGCCTCGCCTGCTGTGGACAGTGCTTCCTCGGACGATATTGTGTCAAGAAGTGAATGAAGACCTCGGTTTCTTCGCTCTGTTCCTGTGTACGGTACGTTTCGCAGCGTGAACAGCCGTCACGGTGTATTCGATTCGACTTCTTTCGGTGATTCTGTTTGCTTCTACCAGTGCCGGGTCCGTTTGTGGTTTCACATCAGCTGAGCTCCGTGGGTTTCGACAAGTTTGGATGCAACTGTCGGTACGGTACCGGTACTGTAGTGGTGCTGAGGTGCGTGTGGTGTCATTTCTTTGTCTCGATTCGATTGTGCACCTCGAGCGTACTGGTTGCGCCTACCGATAAGGTACTGAATCGACGGACTGACTCCGATCCTCACTTGTACAAAGGCATGCAGCAACTTTGCTTATACAAAAAGGCGGAGGGTGCATTGATTGATTGCCTGCCTGCCTACAAAGCTTGTGTGGTGCTTCTTCTCCGCAACCGACAGCATCCTTGGCGTCGTGCGGCGTGGATTGACGAATGATGAATCGCTATCGTTCGCGACTTTCTCTTTACGCTATTTTTAAAAGAATTGGTTTGCAGGCTATACGAGTTTGTTTGTCCGACGGGTGTACGTTAATTTTTGCTGTCGCAGATCACTTCCACAAAAAGAAGCTTGTTGATTCGATTGCTTCTGTAATCTTGTGCAAAGACAAGGCTTGCTAGATATCAGTGAAGACCGAGTCCATGCAGCCAAACATCCACACCCCGATGATTGATTGATTGATTGATTGATTGATTGATTGACTTTCTGATGTCGATTGATTGTTTGATTGACTCTATTTTTCATCCTTGACGACCTTTTCCCGTTCTTCGGTGGCGGGGGGAGGATCGACCCACTGGCATTCTTTTTCGACGGAGTACTTGACCCGACAGTTGTAGTTGTATCCCAGTAGGTATCCCAGTTGTCCATACCCCCCTCTATTGAATGCTACACACCTTGCATTTGCCATGAGCATAATTTCGACAAAACTTGTGAAAAGATCTGTAGGCACTGTACTGGTATCATGTGCAATTTGTTTTGAATGAACTACGACATTGTGATGATTTCCGTAGACAATGGCTTCTCTGGCAATGGGATAGGTTTGAGCCGCCACAAAATACGGACCACCTGCATGCAGATTGAAAAGACGAAATGAATTCGAGTCAGTAATGTTGTGAAGGTTGTTTTTGTTGTGATATATATGTATTGATTTGCTTACCGGGTCGCAACTTGGACAGGCAGTTCATGGCATGTTCTACCTTGAGTCTGAGTTCTTCTTGTTCGGCATCATTTTGTGGCACCTGATCGTAGTCAATATGAGCCGCGGCATACTCTCCAGCTCCCAATCCCATGAGTCTGAGAGACTCTGTGACACGTTCGGTGAGCATGAAACTAGGCTTGAATAGCACATTCCATGTATCCTTGAATACTTCAGATGCCGCCTTTTCTCCCTCCTTGCGCCTGTCGTTGTAGTATGGTTCTGCAAATGTGTCGTCATTGTACATGACATTGACAACTCGTCTGTCATCCTGGGAGGCTTGTTGTTCGATGATGTTGATGTCGGTTTGGTGTGCTGACTTTCGTATCTTCCACATGATGAATTCCGGTACAATCCAGTCAATGCCTCCATGCTGGGGTGGATGGAGGTATTTTTCCAATCGATCCGGCAAATCCCAGTGAATGCAGAAGACCCGTTTAGAATCGGCGGCAACACGCAACATGGCCATGATGGGTCTGAGTCTGTGAGCGACATTTCCACACACTTCTCCCCCCAAACATGTCATGACGAGATATCGTTGTTCTCTCCAATTGTCCTTGTTGAGCTGAGCCGTAACTTGTACGTGCCATTCAAAGTATTCTTTGAGCCACTGTGGAATTTTGTTGGAATTTTTCCATCGATTTTCTCCCACAGCAACGTCTGTTTCTTCTTCTTCTTCTTTTCGCTGATGCAAGTCAACGTCTCTTCCAGCCGCAATATCTTTGGCCAGCATGTCATCCTCCACAATATCACCATCGGCATCACGGACAATGAGTTTTCCATCTTTGAACTCTGCATTCTTATTGATGTTGACCACATTGGCCTGATCTCTGTCATGGTGCTCTTGGGCAGCCTTGCGAGCTTCTTGCTTGAGTTGTTCTTGCATTTGCTTTTCAATGGTACTTGTACTGCCTGAACTTGTACTTGTACTTGTACTTGTACTGCTTTCTTGTTGCTGAGGTGAAGGTGGTTGGAGCCTTCGGACTGAATTGGGATTCATGGTGACAGTACTACTAGTATCAGTACTAGCTTTACTGCCACTTCCCATGAGTGCAACGGCAAGCAGACCCAGCAATGCCAAGCCAACGGCAATGACGGCTGTCTTGGCATTCTTACCGTTTGCATGAAACGCTTTGTCTCGACTGTTCGTGCGTGCAATGGGAGACCGAACCTTGCTGCCCACTAGCGATGGCGCTGTTGGAGTGCGATTTCTCATTGACATCTTGCTTTGCTTTGATTTGCTTTGACTTGATTCACCTACTGTAGTCTATTCTATCCCTCTTTGTTTTTTTGTTGGCTTTTTTGTTGGCTGATGTTTTGTGTCCGCGCAATGGTGGATTTTGATGCCGCTATACGGTAGACAATCCTTCAAGCGGACAAAACTGTACCGGTGGCACGGTTGGAAACTGGTAAGCAGGTGGAATGAGACTTAAAGCCTCTCACTTCTACGAAGTGTGAATTTAATTAGAAAAGATTTATGTATGAACCGAGCGTCCTTTTCAGTACCAAAAGAGGATAGCGACCGTCTCACAAATTCCAGCACTACCATAACATCCTAGCAAATAGCTACATGGAGCTAGCAGCAGTATGGACTTGCCTTCAAATGCGCTGCACTTGCATCTGCACTTGACACAACCTAGCTAGTAGCTAGATCTACCGTACCAAGCCAAAAAGAGGGATTATGTGTCTTCTTCTCTAGCTAGCTAGCTAAAAGTGAAGCAGAAAAGAAACACCAGCAAGCCATCCCTGGCAACTGGCATGTGAGGCAGACTTGCTTTTGTTGAATGAATGGGCTCTTGGTTCTTGGACCGCTTCTTCTCTGTTAGTTTTGCTTCTTTTTGCTTGCTCCACAAGTTGTATGACAGCCATGCATTGCTTCTCTCGACCTGCCTGTCAGCCATGAAAAAAGATCCAAGGCAGTGAGTTAGAGTATTGGTGCATGAGCTCATCATCGACATAAGTACTGGTAGTACCACGAGTACTACATGTACCTGGTACTAGCTAGCTAGTAGAGTAGTTTAGTAGTTCTTTTTCTATCCAATACTGGTACTTGTGGCTGTCTTTTAATAAACTACATGTAGCTACTTCAGTACTCACACCCGTACTCACAGGCCAGAAGAAGGCTTGCAAGGCTACATGACATTGTAACCAACCAGCCACGAACAAAATCAATAATACATGAATAATAAGAGCTTCACATGTCACATGGCTTTGGTGCCCACAACTCCATATGATTCAATGATTCGATTCAATGCCTGTTTTACCATCATCTACTAGCTAGCTATTGAGTAGCTAGTAATAGTACTCCTCTACTCAAAAAGACTCAAGAAAATCAACAGAAGACAGAAGTCAACCACCCAACGAGTCATTCATCTGCGAACTCAAGTTTGGCACTGGCTGCAGGCGCTGGTTTGTTGTCTTCAGTCTTTTGGTTGTGTAACTGGTGTTTGCAAGCATCCTTCTGGTACCGGTAGACTACTAGTACTCTTTGGCTCGTTGAGTTGCAGAAGAGCAGAAGCCAAGGTTTGGCAGTTAATAGGTCTACTCTCTAGCTAGCTATTAGCTAGATCTAGCTAGTAGTTGCTGAGGTTGCAGTTTGTGGTCTTTGTCGTCTGTCTTCTGTCTCTTGTCTCTTGGTTGTGTTTCTGTTGTTTGCAAGTTTGCAGGGATGCAGCGTTCGTTGTACGGGTGCATGTCGTGATGTCGCAGATGCTGCGCGGGGTTCTTGAGAGCCGAGGACAGCTTACATGACATTGATTTGCAATATTATTACAGTTTGAATGAAAAGCAGCTGTTTGAAAAGCAGCTCCGGAGTATCAATTAACGATACCGCAAGATCACCATACCAGCCTTCTTTGCTGGTCCGCTTTGTTCGCTCTGTATAAACATCCACGATTCTTTTGTGACCTTCACTTACACAGTGTCATCTTGTGATTTATACTAAAAAGAAGTTCCGAGCTGAAGGATGACTCCTAATAATGCCACTGAAACATGAAACATGAAAGAGGAAAGAGTTCAAGTAAGTTCAAGGAAAACGCTGCTGATCAGCTTACGAAGTTACGAAGACTACTGATAATATATATATGTAGCACTCAGATGCTCAGATACTGCTTAGGAAACGATCAATCTCCGAATCATTCAATCATTCAATTCATAACACCCAAGTTTCCACTGTACTAGTACCTGTGGCAAACGCTGTACAAGTACCGGTACTACTACTAGTATAGTAGTACATGATGTCGCCGGTAGAAACTTTAAATTCTGTCCGACCTGCTCTGATCTTTTACGCATTTATTTATAGTACTGTTTGGATCAGCAGTACGTGTTTGGATGCACTTTAACAGATGGAAGCGTAGCTAAGACTTAAAGAGAAAAGAAGAGTCTTTAAACAAAGCTGCTCAGATAGTGCTTCCTGGAGTCATCCCATAAAACCCAGGCGTCCATCCCTGTAGATTCCTCTGTGACTTTCTGACTTTCTGACTACTCACTTTTAGAATGTAAAAATAATCCAGGCGGCATCCCACGTTCACTGCTCACACTCGCACCGTACACTTTTTCCAGTACATGTAAAACGCGTTTGTGTGCAGTTTGCAGAAATTCACTTTGTCTCAGCCGCCGCATTCCCCAGTTTCCGCACTTTTACTTTCGCTGGAGCCAGCGGCGACCCAAAGGCAAATCCAAACTCCAAACTACCACACATATTATGGGTACATCATTCATCATTATTCTACAACAGATACTAGTAGACTGGCTGAACGCCAACCATGACGAGCAATAGCAATAGCAACATGAGCAGTGAAGGCGTGAGTCGAACGATGGAAGCCACTGGTAGTGTAAGCGTAAGCCACAGCATTGGTGCCTCTGATCAATCAGCAACAAAGAATGAAGTTACCAGTAACGTTCTCCAAAAAGACAATCGCGCGGTATCGAGATCACGAGCGTTGGTCTTTGTGGTCTTGGCCACTGCTGCGGCTGTCTTGGCTTATCTGACTTACTTTTACGTCCACATGGAGCAACGGGAAGACTTTGAAAATGAGGTGAGTTTGTCACCGTTATGTTCATCATTAAGAATAGGGTTAGCATGACTGGTTGAGTCGAATGAGTCGAGTCGAACCCGTTTCTAACTCCCGCGCTTTTGTTTGAAACACAGTTTGCCAACTTGGCAGACGAGATTATGGACATTTCCCAGCAGAACGTCAAGAAGGTCTTTGGGACTCTAGAAGGCTTGAGCGTTGCAGCAACGTCCCATGCTCTCCACAACAACGAATCATTCCCTTTTGTCACCATTCCAAACTACCCAGTCAAGGGGGCCACTGCCCGTGCATCGTCGCAGGCGCTCATTATTGCCTACTTGCCTCTCGTTTCAGAAGAAAACCGAAGAGACTGGGAACAATACTCAGTCGATAATCAAGATTGGATTCAAGATTCGTATCCAAAAGACGTACAAGTGCAACCCATCCTTCAACAGATCCATGCCTACGGACCCAAAGAACCCAAACCTCCTCAAGAAAATCGTAGTCGCCGTCGCCATCTATCTTCCGCCTCCTGCTCTGACGAAGGACGACGCATGCTCAAAGAAAGAATCACAGAACCAGAAGGATCTGGGCCGTACGCTCCAGTTTGGCAAATGACGCCGACACCCCCCGCTAACGACACGGCCACGCTCAACTACAACCTTTTCGACAAACCCGTTTACGAAAAGGGGGTCAACTTTATTGCATACTCACGAAAGCCCGTCTTTCTAGATGTATGCAATCAAGCGGCATGGTTTGGGGGGCACTACTCCAACAAGGACGTACTCCAAACAGCGGTAGTGCAGCCAGTTTTCGAAAGCTTTGAGGAAGATGCCCCCATTGTTGGCACCTTTGTTGCAATCATCCCTTGGAAGACTTTCTTTGACAACATTGTACATGCACGGGCACCAGAAGTACGAGTCGTACTATCCAACACTTGCAACGAAGTCTTTACGTTCTCCATCCAGGGTCACAATGCAGTCTTTTTGGATGAAGAGGACTTGCACGATCCCACCTACGATTCCATGGCACAACAGTCACCCTTTGCCGAGTTTGCCAATCCAAAAGAACTACTCGAAGCGGATCTCGGAGAACATTGCGTCTATAACGTCCATGTCTACCCCACAAAAGACCTGGAAGACTCCCATTTGACCAATGATCCCATTTGGTACTGTCTCCTCGTACTGGCCGTATTCAGCTTTACTTCCATCATCTTTCTTCTATACGACATGCTAGTACAACGCAGGCAAATGAGACTGGTCGAAGATTCCGCAAGGAAACACGAACAAATCGTCTCCTCCTTGTTCCCAGAAATGGTACGAGACAGAGTCTTTGATGCCAATCAAGAAATGGAACGGCTGCAATCGATCCACCAACACAAAAACTATACACACAGCTACAGTGACACACACTTTGACATGGAAGAAATCTTGCAAGAAACAAAACCCATTGCCGATCTATACCCGGCCGCCACCGTCATGTTTGCTGGTAAGAAGCAATCACATTACAACAAACCATGCAGTTCGTTTTGACCGTTCTCTATACATGTGGAATGTCTGCTCACCAATCTCATCATATCATCGCTCCTTGTCTTTTCTTTGTCATGCTCCAGATATGGCAGGTGAGTGACAACAGCCCGAACCATACAACCACCTCGTATGATCCACTGATGTCTGTGCTAACACAAATATTTTCACTGCTTGTACTCGTTTCATGACAGGCTTCACTGCTTGGTCCAGTATTCGTCAACCAGGAGATGTCTTCAAACTGCTGGAATTGGTCTACCACTCCTTTGACTCCTCCGCAAGAATGTACAATGTCTTCAAAGTTGAAACAGGTAAAGTCTTAGCTAGCTCCTCTGTGCCGGCTGGATTCGATTCAAAATGCCACGTACTCACACTCATCACGCATTGCCGAAATCTATAGTGGGTGACAGCTACGTTGCCGTTGCGGGCGTTCCAGGTAGGTTCCAGAAGAACTTTGGAAAGCCATCAATTCAATGTCCAATCTTGGCGCAACAAGTCAACTCAATCGTCGTCGTTTTCTTCCCCTACACAAACACAGAGGCACGTATTGACCATGCGGTTGTCATGGCTCGCTTCAGCCGGAACTGCATGGAACGATTTGGTCGCATCATCAAGAAGCTGGAAACAAGACTCGGACCAGACACTGCCACGTTGAAACTCCGCATTGGGTTGCACAGGTACGTCGTCACAAACATCCTCTAGCTAGTACAGTTTTCTGGCCGGAAAGTGGAGTTCCTCACAAGCGCGGTTACGAATGAACAGTGGTCCGGTTACTGGAGGTGTGCTGAGAAATTCCAAGAGTCGCTTCCAGTTGTTCGGCGACACGGTAAGTGACCCAAATGCAAAAGAGTAGGGACGTCGCGTGGATATATATCTGAGCTCATCATCGCTCTTGCCTTTCCTATTCTTTAGGTGAACACAGCGTCTCGAATGGAAACTACAGGGCTTCCTGGCAAGATCCAAGTATCTCGTAAGTGAAAACATGTGCATGCTTGAGGTCCGGCGCATCTTCTTTTGTTCGGCCAACGACTAACAAACGTCTCCTATCCACAGGCGAAACTGCCGATCTTCTGATCGCCGGTGGAAAGGAGTGTTTCTTGGAACCTGGTTCTGACCTGGTCGATTGCAAGGGGAAGGGCTCCCTTCAAACGCACTTTCTAAAGGTGAAACGACGAACTCACTACGACCAAGAAGGCAGCATGTCTGGAGAAACCAACCACAGCATGTCGGGTGAGGAATCGGGACCGTTCCGTTTCCAGGACGAAACACAAAAGTTGGTGGAGTGGAACTGCTCCATGCTGATTCCACATCTCAAGGCCATTCTGGCTCGACGACAAGTCACCAAGCCGACACGAAGCAAGGATCTCAGTACCGTGGAAAAAGACCTCAGTGAAAAGTACATGGTGCTGGGAGAGGTCAAAGAAATCATTGATTTGCCGTCCTTCGTCCCCGGTATGCCCGAAATTGATCCTTCGAGTGTCCGATTGGACCAAGAAGTGGTAGATCAGCTCCGTCGTTACATCATGGTGTTGTCTCAGCTCTACCAAGACAACCCCTTTCATTCATTCAATCATGCAAGCCACGTTACCATGTCCACAACCAAGCTGCTGGCCAGGATCAGCAATGGTTCTTCGGATGATCCGCAGACGTTTGGCATCTGCGATCCACTGACTCAGTTTTCCATTGTCCTCTCGGCGCTCCTGCACGACGCCGATCATGGCGGGATTCCGAACCCCACACTGATCAAGGAGAATCCAACTCTTGCCAGTGCATACAAAAACAAGAGTGTAGCTGAGCAGAACTCTATTGATCTTGCATTTAGTGCTTTGATGCAACCCCAGTTTGATGCGCTTCGCAAGTGCATCTACTGCAACGAAGCAGAGCTGCGCCGATTTCGCACAATCATCGTGAACTCAGTCATGGCGACCGATATCTTTGATCCTGAGCTCAGCTCTCTTCGCAAGAATCGGTGGAATCGAGTATTCGAAGACAACACCAGCAGCTGCAGTGACAGTGACAGTTCGCGGGGGGTGTCAATGACCGAAGAGGGAATCAACCGGAAGGCGACTCTGGTCTTGGAGCATCTGATCCAGGCTTCGGACGTGTCGCATTGTATGCAGCACTGGTTCATCTACGTAGACTGGAATTCCAAGCTCTTTGAAGAAATGTATAGGGCATACCGAAAGGGAAGAACCAATACGGATCCTTCAACGGGTTGGTACAAGGGCGAAATCTGGTTTTTCGACAATTATGTGATTCCACTTGCGAAAAAGCTCAAGGACTGTGGAGTCTTTGGAGTGTCAAGCGATGAATACTTGAACTACGCTGTGAAGAATCGTCGCGAATGGGAGGTTCATGGGGAGGAGATCGTTGCTGGCCTTGTGGCCAAGTTTTCATCTATTGAAATGTCTCCAGACGACGACGTTGCTGGTGAAGAAGAGGAGCCAAAAGATGATGGCTTCGCTTCTGTTATAGAAGTCTAGCTAGCTAGCGTTGGGTAAATCTTTGAAGCAGCCATGGTACACATGTATTATAAGAAAAGAAAGGGGGATAGTAGGATGTATTAGTTTTTGGAGGATCTGGCAGGGCGTTTGTTGTCTTCCACGTGGTCCTCTCGAAACATCTGGCGTGAAATTCGTGCAATTTCCTGAAGCAGCGCACGTCATTGGCCAAAGTTTCAGCATTGATTGAAAGTCGGTCTTCTTCAGACAGCTGGCTGAAACGCCTGATTTGGATATCAGGATCATCCTCGATTCTGATGTGGAAACGTGGATTGTAGTATGGGACACCATACTCATCATACTCTAGCTGCGTCTCATCGTTGCCAGCATTCGCTGGGTTGCCTCCATTGTTTTCTGGAACTGGCCTTGGATTCGTTTCCTCCCTTACCGGTACCGGTACTGCATAGAAGACCAGCATGTGACCTTCAGGGATTCCCTGTGGGCCATCCAGTACCGGTAGGATGCCAGTAGTCTCAAGACTATCATTGCCTTGGATGGTTGTCACTCGACCAGAAGAAGATCTGAATTTCAGGGTGGGACCTGGAAAATCCTCTGGGTAACGATTTTCTAGACCACGATATACTGCATGGAATGTTGCCGATTCTTTCAAACGGAAATACGTACCTCTAGATGCGTTACTCTCAGGTTTCCACTTCACTGCTAGAACATACTCATCCTCCTCAACTGATCCAACGACTTCTCGAGGCATCCTTTCACACATCATGATGGGAGCAGTCGTGACCCATGTGCTAGTGTCCTCATCCCATGGCTGGTCCATCACCCAAGGAGTACCAGTGCCAGTAGTACCGGTAGCACTAGTAGGTTCAGAATCCATGGTGTCTACTGGTAGCTGGTAGCTACTGGAGAAGGAACGGCACGGCTACGATGTGTCAGAGTACTACCAGTAGTATTCTTGTCGCTTTGGCCTAGCTAGCTAGCTTGGTTGCTGCACAAAAATTCCTTCCGACTCAGACCGCTCGTTTTACCGCTTTCTACGTCCCGCACTTATTGAGCATTATTGGACTGGACTCGCACACTTGGTATTGACAATGACAATGGCAAACAAAAGGAGGACGAGGACGATCCAGGAGGATCTGAATAGGGACGGCGAAGACTAGCTACATGTAGCGAAAGCCACGCTTCTTCTCGGGACACATGTACAAAATCTATGGACTTGGAGGAGGCAATGTATTCTGATATAAATAAATAAATGTATGTGGAATAGGTGGATGCAATGTCTACATGTTCTAGCAGTCGACACCATTGGAAACAGGCAGTCTCTCCGCTTGCTCGTGTGATTGCTCACAATCGTCGTGGACACGGACGTCGTCACCAAACTTGTGTTTGTAGTTCATCAAATACTGCTCAACAAGAGCTTCCCCCTTTTGCTCCCACTCCTGTTTTTGCATGAAGGAAAGCAGGCGAATCGAATCGAGATGGATGAGTTTCAGCTTCAACTAGCAGGCAGCCAAGTGCACGTACGTGAACATGTAGTTGCAGGCACTTACAGCTCTGTTTGTTCTGGCGTAGTTCAGGAATTCGTCGCTAGACACACCGAAAACACCACACGTGAACAGCTTTTTGGCCAATGGGATAACTACGATACGGTAGAGGACACAATGAGACAACTACACGTACAGAACAAGAAGCAAGCAAGACCCTTCAAACGGAAAAACTTACTGTAAAAGTCAAAGAATCCAAGTTCTCCCTGATACCATCCTTCCGATGGGTCCTTTTCGATTCGACCAGTCTTGTAGGCTCTGTACAGCTCATGGAAGAGTCTCTCGTTCCACTTCACGTAAACGTGCCAGTGCTGCATCTGTGTCGTCATTGGATGGCGTTTCGACATGGCTGGTGTAAGCAACAGGTTCCTGCATGGTTTGCTGTTTGAAATTGCTCCATAATGGTCTGACTTACCGTGTGGGAAATGTCGCTGGCCTGGATCAAGTGCTCAATCTGCAGTATAGTCGAAAACGAGACAACACAGGAAACATGCATCAGCAGCCGAAAAAACAATGCAACATGCAACAAACTGCGTTCAACACTCATGGATCCGTACCACAATCGTTGCCTTTCTGTTGACAGCCATCTGGTCCTCCTCTTCTGATTCTTTCTCCTCGCTGAATGCCTTATTCCAACGGTTCTTGCGGGCAGCGCCAAGCTCCTTGTCCATCTGCATACCGGTAGCATGAATAGTCATAGCAGTCGACAGAAGAAAGCAGAATGAGTCTCAAACCAATTTGCATCCCTGAGAGACCAGGGTTAATTGAATACCGGAGACTTACAATGTCAGTCGCCATTACACTGTTCACAACAAGGTGTCGGAAACGCTGATACTCTTCCGCATCACCACAGATACAGTTGAGCAGATCCTTGTACTCAGGTTCATGGAAGAGATCCCAGGCCAAATCCAGACTGTTCCTTTCGGCTACGCTCTTGTTGTTATACTTGACCGCAAGCGGATCATTCTCCGTGACCAGCGTCGAATTGGGAACGCCTGTAGAGAGAGATTGAAGTTAGGTCATTAAGAACACTTCTTCCAGCTGCAGCGAAGGGTCCCAATCATAACCAAAGCTCACCTTGATGATCGAGATCATGAATCAACGCCGCGTAGGCACAGGCAAATTGGATCATAGGTTCTGAGGTTAAACCGAAGGTAGCAGTGTGAAGTTCTGCCTCGACCCTTTGAAGATCACATCCAACCTCTGCCTTCTTTGAAACAATTTCCTTTGGTGCAAGGATACGTGTCATCATCTTGTCAACACTCATCAGGACGTGGGAGGCATGTTCGAAGGAATGGAATGAATTGTTTCTGTTCAAGAGTGCAATGGGTAAGTGGTCAGCGAAACAATACGGACTCAGTTGGTGATGTTGCAAGCATTTGTGAAACTTACCGGTACATGGCAGAAATCTTGGTGATCAGGCCCTGCAATTGGTCCACCACCACGTCGTCGAGAACGATGGAATCCGGGTCCACTTGCTGAGAAATAGCGGCTTCGCTGAACCCAGGAAGCGCGATGATCTCTTGGACAGTCTCAAGTGCACACCCCTGCAGCGACGTTTCGGAAGTCGAGAAGCTGGAAGCTTTTGATCTAGGCTTGTTCATTGCATGTCGCCTTGCAAGGACACGTCGTAAGAGCTTGCTAAGGACTTCCAAGTTCCAATTCACCAATCTCGTCGTTTTGGCATCTTCACGGTCTGTGGTATCACGCGCTCCTGGGGTCTGAGTTGGAGCCGATACGCTCGCCTTGGAGGCCTTTGAGCCAGAGATGATTCGCACAAAATATGTCTGCAGACGCCCCTTCCCTTTGATGTTGATCTTTTCCTCACGAGGGACAATCCACTTTTCAAAACCAGCTTCCGAAATCAACTCTGCAGTGTATGCAGAACAGTGGATCTTGTTTTGGGCTCCGGTTGATTCCATTCGAGCAGCCATGTTGACTGAAGTTAGAGCAAGGGCAGGCATTGAGTGAGATCAGATCTGATCCACTATCTGTATATATTATACAAATCGAGTGAAAGTCAAGTTGGAGGACTATTATACGTACCAGTATCTCCAAACAGCTGAAAGCGACCTTTATCACCTCGCAGAACACCTGCAGTGACTTGTCCGCTGTGAATACCAACCCTCAAAGCGAGGTCGGCAGTGTCAGGGCCCAGAGTTGTTTCAAGGGCTGTGCAAATGCGGAGATAGTTGGAAGAAAGAACAAGTGCGATTCGTTGTGAGCTTGAAGCGTGCATGAATCGAATCTCTTCCAGGGCATTTGTTCTTGAAGAAAGATCAACTTACCTCTCGAAAGCTGATGCATTCGTTTGATGCAATCATTCGCAAACCTGGCAATGACGACAGCATGATTCTTTCGAGGTTCGGGAACACCTGACACAGCTGGAAGAATTGAAAGTGGACAGGGGAGAGGAGTGAGATTCAACATCATGCATGTGTCCAGGCTGATCCCGCGGCCTTTTTTGAATCGTACCAACATAACAATCGCCCTGTTCATGGAAGAGACAAGATTTTGATGAGTGTCTGTCAAAGTAGAGGGGCACGAGACATAGAAAGACCTGCTGCTACAGGCTCAAAACTTACCACTGTCTCCACCTTGAAGACTCGGCGCCGCTTGGCAATGTTGTCGAATGAATTATAGAGGATTTCGAGTAGCGTAAAGACTTGGGATGCTTCGCGTACCGAGCTCCAAGCCGTGAATCCCACCATGTCCATGAAAACGACTGTTGTGTATGGATGCAACTCAGCGATGGGTTTGCTTCCAAAGAGCCCCTCGCTGGTGAGCTGGTCACTTGGGCGAAAGGGGTTCTTGTCAGAGCTGTTCTTGTCGCTTCCGTTATTGAGAAATGCTTGAGCCTTTGAAAGAGGCTGTGTTCGTTTAGCCTTGGCAGCGGTTGCATCTTGAATGAGGCGTTCCCGTACTTTTTCTGGGAAGAGACTGCTGACAATGGAAGCTTCAGCAGCAGCTGTGGTGATGATTCGTTGCATTTTGATGGACTTTCTCAAGTTGTGTAGCATCCAGATGGCGAGGAGGAGTGATGCAAGGAAGATCATGGAACCGCTAATGACGATAAAGGTCAAGTCTGGCTGGTATGAATCATCGACAGGAAGTATGGCAATCTTCCAAGTGCGAGAGGCCACAGCAATGTCAGCTTCGAAGAATAGCTTGGAAGATCGATCGAGTTGATCCAGAGGGACTTGCGGGAACGACAAGTCTTTGACGTCCGTTTTGTCTTGAGCGGAGGAGGATGCATTCTGCCCAATTCGAATCTCAATTCCACCCATGACCATGGGGGGCTTATCCTCCGACGTGATATCGTAAAGGTGAGCGGCGAGACTCTCTCCCTGGTTGCGTGATGCTCTTGTCAATAGATCCCTAACCTTGACAACCATATTGGAGAGGTCTCTATGCTGGACATTGGGGGTAAGATCCTGTGGGATGAAGGGACCTGGATGAAAGAGCACGACACTGTTTCCATATGCCTCTGTTTCGTGAACCAAGATGAAGGGCGCAGTAAGAGCAGGCTTCATGGTGCTGAGAGCTTGAAGGATGGCTGGCTTGAGATTGGGCACAGTGAAGAGATCCAAATGCCCCTTTCCTCCCAAGTTCTTGACAGGTTCCATAAAGTGCATGGGGAAGTACCATGGCTGTTCTGATCGGTGCTGCACGGTGAGCGGAGGTGCTCCTTCTTGCTTGTCTGGATTGGGCTGGAGTCCCTTGAATCCAGTATAGTTGAATCCAGGCTGATAGGCAGGCCATTCTTGAGACGCCCTTTGTTCCATAGCAGCTCGTTCGGCATGAGTGGCATTGGGGATCCACTCTGCTGCGAAGAACTCTAGCTCTTGATCGTAAATGAGGTACTGATATAAAACCCTAAAGTCCATGCGGGTCATGTTGTCCGTCCTCCAGTTTCTGCAACTTTCGTGAATCCAAAGGGTCGCAAGCTCGTAGTCGTGCCACGAGTTGACAATCTCCTTTTTCATCTCTGCAGCTCGTCGTTCAAAGAGAGCTTTCTGGTCGCCATTCGCGTTGGATATGCCCAAATAGAGAAAACTGGCACTTGCCAGAGCGCCTACAAGAACCACGAGAAAAGCCACCAAGTAGGTCTTTTTGGCAATGCGGTCCATGTCCAAGGATTGCTTCTCGAGGACACTGCCACCGCCACTGGCACTGTTGGAACGCACACTGGACCCGTTGGTCTCATCGAGAAAGTCCAACAAGTTCGAATCGTCGTCGTTTTCGTACACCTGGGAAAGCTCGTCTAGCGCCAACACGCCTGAACCTACCAGGCTGCTAGCATCCGACAAACCCGAGGTGCCCCCAGGAAAACTGCCATGGCTCATGGTCATTGCGGAGTTGTGTTTTGTACTTACTTACTTAGTTACTTACTTAGTTACTTAGTAATAGTAGTATTAGTGGCTTGTAGGTAGCTGGTAGCTAGCTTGTTGGTTGGAGGGATAGTAGTACTACTAGTAGTATTAGTATTAGTAGTATTAGTTAGCAAATGAGAAATTCAGGCTTTGCAAAAGTCTTCAAGGAAAAAAGTGAGAAGAACTGCAAAGGTTCAAAAGTTGGCTGCTCGAGCAAGAAGCAACCGGTTCACTTCGGGCGACAGCTCAGTCGAGATACATGTACATGTAGTCAAACAGTTACTGTGGAAGTGGACGTCTTCAGTATAGAGAGCCAAGGAAGGATGGCCCAAGATCTTGACTTCCGATTACCGATAGCCCATACCGGTACCGGTGGTACTCTAACCACTGAAGAAGCAAACATCTCCTACTATTAATAGCAAGCTAGCTACTAATAGCAGCATAGCAGCTGCTACTGCTAGCTAGCTAGAGCCGTGGAAATTTTACGCACGCGGAGTATGTTTCGTGTAGCTTTTGACAAAGTCATTCACTGGGATCTGGAATGAAGGGGCCACTAATACATTTATTTACTTAGCTTAGCCACGGAAGTTTAACCAGTAGCCGGACATCGTCATCGAAGCGGCCAGAATTTCAACAGGAAGTGGGTTCTTCAGAACTCCCACCCCTTTCCTTTTAAAACTACTTCTCTTCTTACTCAGACATTCGGGGAGTACTCAAGCAGCACCAACCATTAACTCAATAACGCCAAAAGAACACCAGAATTGATCATGATTGCCAGGATAGGATAGTATCCTGGCAATAGCTCCAGAGCGGATACAGCTCCAGAGCTCCAGAGCTGCTCCAGGCAGACAAAGCTGTTTCGCTGTCACCTCATAAAATAACCACTGTGGGATGGTAATAACTCATTTGCAACTGCTCAGAAAGCTTCTTAATGCATGGGTCACTCTAAGCTTGTCTCCATGATTAATTTTGTCATTCAGCCAGAAAGGAAGCTTTCTTTAAGTCTATTACTGTGCACGGAAAGCTTCATATGCATCTCTCTTCGTTGGTTGGGGTCATTTCGGTCATTCAACATTCACTAAAGCTGGCCAAAATAAGTCCGGTCATATGAGTCACTGGGAAAACAAAACTGAAAACCACTGAAGCCTCCCTGGAAGAGCTACTGTACTCTCTTGCTTCCGCAAAAATTAAGGCAGGGGCGAGGGGTAGGAAGGCTTCCGTAAACTGTTCTTAATCACGAGTGTTCTTCTGAATAAAGCTTTACTCAAGTACTAGCTAGGCAGACAGCTCTAGCCTCTAGCTAGTACATCGATCCACTGGAAGCAGTGGCAGTACCAGGACCGTCCGACGGTTTTCACTCAGGCTTTAAAAACGGGCACGACTGACTCATAATCCTGGTTCTCATAAGGGGTTGTTTAAGGGGATGTTGAAGCTTTAAGGGGTTGTTTAAGGGGATGTTGAATATTTAAGGGGTTGTTGTTAAGGGGTTGTTTATTTAAGGGGATGTTCATTCGTGATAAGGGGTTGTTGTATGGCGTTTCAATGAAGGCTTAAGGGGTTATTTTGAGGATATAGGGGGATGTTGTTAAGGGGTTGTTTATTTAAGGGGTTGTTTGAGGGGATGTCAAAGCTTTAAAGGGTTGTTTAAGGGGTTGTTTAAGGGGTTGTTTAAAAGATGTTGTCAGTCGTGGCAATTTGAAGATTTTTAAATCCTGAGTGAAAAGCGTCGGACGGTCCAGTACATGTATGTATGCATAAGCATGTAAGCATGTACAGCTGCATGTACTAGTATGGGTTGGCCATGATTAAATTTTTCTCCGCCCCGTAGAAAAATTTGGTGAACGGAAGGGAAGGAAGGCTTCCGTAGACGATTTTTGGTTTGGTCAGTGGTGAATTCATGAAGCAAGCACCACAGTGCATTCTTCGAGAGGATACTAGTACTATAATATATAATAGCTAGTAGCTTGTAGAATACCGGTACTGTACAACTGTGCTACCACCTACAACCGGTATGAACTCGAGTAGCGCTGTGCCAGATACCTGGTGGTACGAACCGGTACTGGTTCAACTTCATCAACCACCAAGAGCTCGGCCACCATCGACCATCAACCATCAACCATCAACCATCAACCATCGAACCCATAGGGGATGAGCAAACTTGCCCATGGCTCTGTGTTGAATTTGTTAGAGCGTTTTTGTAAAAATTGTGTGCGCTAAGCCAATCTTTTACTTTGGCTGTTTTTCTCTATTGGATTTGATTGGATTGCATTGGATTAGATTGGATTAGATTGGATTGCATTGAATTACAGTTTACTATATAAATAACAGTACTATTTGGAATCCAATTCAATCCAATTCAATGCAATCCAATCCAATCCAATCCAATTAAATGTATCTTCCTGCAAAAATAGGAATTTCGTCTTTTTAACTGATTTTGGCGAGTCACACTCCATTACAATTCAGGGCTATTGCAAGATTTGCCCATCCCCATACCGGTACGTGCTACAGTACGCTGTACATGTACATCATACCGGTACGGTACTACGTTTCTGCAACAGTAGTTGCACAGCCTCAGTATGTGGTATAACCTATCTATTCGTCGTTAAAAAATAAGTGGATAAGTAGTGGAGTTTGAAACGAGTTTGAAATGCCATCCTGTACCGGTACCACCAGGTGGTTTCGGGATATCAAAATTTGTCCCCCATTCCAAAATTGGTCCCCACATTCCAAAATTGGTCCCCACATTCCAAAACTTGTCCCCCCTACCAAAATGCACCCTCACATGTGCACACGCAAGCTACCGGTAGCATGTGCCTTTCCGCTGACGGGAGGTTCTTCTCCACTTCTACGGGTAGTCTATTCTTTTGGTTTGCCTTTTACGAGCTCCCCTGTCTGATCGAGAGATATAGCAAGCTGCGTGAATCATGATGATTCAAATCCTTTCCCTGCTTGGTTCCACCTCCTCTGGCTCCTTCTTCGGCACTTGCTCGCTGACAAGGTGACGACGCAAACACTTCTTTGTTGCTTTGTTGCTTTTGGCTGCTCTCTAGTTTTTATTAAGTACAAGACAAAGTTCGAAAGTTAGCCGGAACAACGGGATTACTGGATTAGACTAGTATTAGACTCCCCCCTGGTGCGAGCTACCGTACGGGAGCAGCCAGGGGCGCATCATCGAGCAGTTCGTGGCTCAGTCTAACATGCCCTGGTTCCAGTAGCACTAGGTCCTAGGTCCTAGGTCCTAGAGCTAGACTACCGGTAGGTACAGAAAGAGCAAGGGAGTACTCTCTCTCTCTGCTGGCTGGGTCCTTCCGATATCCTTATTCGGATGCATTGGCAACTTTTACGATCCCAGCTGCCTAGCTAGCTGGCAAGCCAAAGAGCGGATTGAGAAATCTTTCTGGTGATCAAGCCAGCAGCCTGCAGCAGCCATAGCCTGGTTCCTTCAAGGCTCCAGAACACCACGTTCCGTAGTGACAACTGGAACGAAGTGAATGAAAGCAAGCCTACCAGTAGGCCAGGATTGAAAACAAGGCGCGGTGCATAGACTAGTACAAACAGACGGCTTGTTATTCAGCTATTTTCTACTCTCTGGCTAGAGCTAGCTAGCTAGTACCTGGTACTGAGCAATCGTGTCAGCTTTTGCTATCGGTAGTCTACGACATCAGACGGCGTACTGCGAAAACCCAGTCTGTCCATCTTCCGGCATTCCGGTACACACCGCGATACCATTCGTGGCTCGTCGAAGGCAGGCAGCTCAGCTCCGATAGCTGCTCCGATTGAGCTCCGTTGCATGCCATCCATAGACTGTAAACAAGCTCCAACAGCTTCGACGGAGAGAGAATCCTGCCGTTGTCGGTGATCTCCGATGTTACTGTTCGGATTTTCCTCGGCGCTTCGCAGGGAGAGCACACACACGAGCTCCTACAAGCCAGGTATTTGCTACATGCAGTCTAGCTAGCTATTCGTGCCGCGCCGGTACATTACTGGAAATAGGCATGGAACTCTAGCTACTAGCTAAGTTGGTGCCGTAGGTATGGTACGTCGATACTAGTACCTTGTGGGTGAGTCTAGCGACTTTATCGGTGGTGCTTGTGCAGGGTATGGCAGTTCTTCTTACCATTGGTGGCCTCCTTTCGTTTGGCTTTCTTCATACTTGAGCTCACAATTCACAATTCACAACAAGCAAACACAAACAAGCAAAACACAACAAACTTGAAAGCAAAATACAATATACACACGTTCATACGTCAAGAGATAGCGTATCGCTCACATCCCGTCTTCTCTTTCAAAGCAGCACCCAAATAAAAAAGCAAAACCGCCACAATGAAGATCGGATCCTACGCCTTGGTCTCATTCCTTTCTGCCTGTCTCTATCCCACGAAGGTCACTGCATCTGATGGGAACCTCTTTACGTACGATCCCAACTCCCAAAACGGCCCAGAATATTGGAAAGACATCTCTTTCGATGATGGCACTGACAATCAATGCGGAGGGGACAGAAACAGCCCCATCGCTGTTGAAAGCAATGCCTGTGAAACCTTTGAGGATTACGAACTGACGGTACGTTTCTACCGACGGATTGTGCTTTTCATGCGTGACAGACCTTGGCCATATTATTGCTAACGACGCTCTTTTGCTAACTTGACTTGTCTTTGTCGCAGCCCGGAACTTGCCTTGTTCAAGACTTTGGCTTTGTCGTCAACAATCATGCCGAGCAGGTCAATGCTCCTACTCAACAAGTCTGCGAAACCAACAAGATGAAGATCCCGGGTGTGGCGGGAGAATTTGAGATGTTGCAGTTTCACATTCACATGAACTCGGAGCACACCTTTGATGGTAGCCACTTTGCAGCAGAACTCCACGTTGTCCATAGTGAAGTCGGTGGGGATAGATTGGCTGTACTCGGAATGTTCTTCGTCCCCACAGCACTTGAGAGCAACGCGCTTGTAGACGATCTTCTTCGCGGCTTTGACGCCATCTCGGATGAAACCTATACCGCGTGCAACATGACTACCCTTCCCCACTGGTGGCAAGATCAGGACCAGGACCAGGACCACCAAGCGCAAGCTGCAGATGTGGATCAAGAAGCTGTGAAACCTCGCTCTGGGTCGACTGTCACTCCCGAGAATCCCTTCAACGTGTACGACCTCGTCCCTAAAGAAGCATCCATGTACTACTACTCTGGAGGCCTTACGACTCCTCCTTGCACAGAGATTGTGGAATGGAGTGTGGTGGACAAGCCTGTTGAGATCACCGTTGCGCAATACAACGACCTCTCCAGCCTCATCCTGAACTATGTGGACCCCACAACGTGTGACTTTGCGACAGTGGCTGATCCCAATAGCGGAAGCACGAGCCGCCCTACACAACCTTCGAATGGTCGGCATGTGACGCGTATCTGCCCCGTGGGCTTTGTCGAGGAAGAGAACGTGGACTTGGACTTGGAATCGGCGAGCAGTGGAAGATTCTCTGTGCCGACATGGAGTTCGTTCCATGTCTTGACCACCATGTTTGTTGGAGGCTGGGTTGCCCGTCGCTTCTAAGGGCACGGTACCAGTACTGTGTGCCCATCACTGCTGCATATCCATAGTGTCTTGTTTGTAGCTAACTACATGTACTAACCGTAGTACGAGAATGCATTCTTCAAATTTCCGACTCTTCACAATTGAAAAATTTCTGGGTGTCTACGCGTCTCTTCTTGTTGCCTCTTTGGCTGCTCGCTGCATGCTACCGTACCTGTTTGTAGATGCCATCATGACTGAGCACTGAGCTGCCCTTGCTTCGAGCACTTGGAGCTTGAGAAACAGCATTGGTGGGTCGGCAGTGTTAATGCATTCAGCCAGCGAGTTAGCTTGGACACTGGATAAGGGCAGGCTTTGTCAAGCTGCTGGAGAACGCCACTTGGCTGCTGATGTCCAACGTGGTGGGCTCCAATCCAAGGCACCAGTCTTGTGCAGTTGCAGCAAGTTTTATTCTTCCTGAGAAAGCCTTGCAATGGAAGCAGCATACAAGGTTTCTCTTGCGTTGCTTTGCAGAGTGGGGAATCTACTACATGTATCCACAGCAAGCTACTCTACCGGTACGGTAGCTAGCTAGTATTATGCAATAAAAGGTAGGCATGGCTGATTAGGGAGGTCTTGGTGATGAATGAGGAGTATGTAATTCCTGTTGGAAGTTGGAAGAGCCAGGCTGAATACACCAAGTAAAAAGCATATCGGTACAAGACTTGTTGTGGCACTTTCCAACTTCCACCCAACCCAATGATGCGAGAGAGAGAGTGCGTAACTCGAAGGCTACTATTAATAGTACGATACCTATTTACTGGCTAGTACTATTTACGTTCGATAGGTTGTAATAACGGTACCGTACCGGTAGAAGCTACATGTAATTTAAGCGGGAGGACAACCGACCCAAGACTCCACAACACAACAGGGTACGTGTAAAAGGATTGAAAAAAGTGAGAATCCGCACGACAGGCGGAGTGTAAGAAGTCCTTAGAATGATGTACTGCCCCAGTATCTTTCGTGAAGTAAGTGTGAACCAAGAGCCAGTTGATCGTGGTATATTTCTATGAGTACTTAAGATGGTGTTCCATGATCTCTTGTGTTTCAGTACAGATGGAGGTTGGAAGAGACCTCACAATGTCACAAGAGTACATTCTTTGGAAAAGTGCTGAAAATGACTTCTAATGTGTTGCACTGATGGCTTAGAAACAAGACTACTTTTTGGGCACCATTGTTTAATCATTTATTGCTCCTCTTAATAGTGAGGCCCTTCTTTTTCTGTCAGGTGTGACATCCAGGAGCCATATGCACTAAATGTGATCGTGGTCTTACCAGTTTTCGACTTCACTGCCCATTAAGTACTAGTACGCTGTACCAATGTACTGAAGACTGAAGTAGTGGTACATAGGTACGTACCAGAACTGTAGCAGTGTACCACTTGGTGTACCACTTGGTGTACCACAGCACTATGGTGCAAGAGACAACAAGATGCATCTTTGAAGCGCTGCTGAATTTCGGATGCTCTCTACCAAAGACTCTTGAGCTCACAATTAGTTTTCAATGACCCAGAAAGACCAACCAACAACTTCAAGCACCAAGCAGCAGAAGCAGAAGCAACAGCGCTACTACTAGTAATAATAACATCCCCTCTTCCATCTACTAGCTAGCAAGAGCTTGAGCACAATCCAATCATCCAAAATAAAATCACCATGGCGAAAGATTCCACTTGCGGTAAGTACAACTATGATATTAAATAGTAGTAAGGTTGACAATGGCACGAAGAATGGCCTGCCGTACCGTATGTGTGGGTATCTCACCTTTTCGGTATGTTAACTATTTTTATTATTTTTACTACAATTTTTTAAATTATTTTTATTAGGCGCTGAACCTCCCAGCCTGAACTTTTCGAGAACAAGAAGTGGCGAAGTGGTCAACCCTGGCAACGGCCACCGCAAAGATGGCCGTTATTTCCCTACCAATTCCCCCCGTGATCCCCGTACTGGTACTGGTACTGTGACTCCTGCAAGTCCCTCTTGTTTGGCCAAGACGAGGACCATGGCGCTATCGGTAGAAGTAGAACAAGCTTCAACAGTTACTGAGGTGCCAGTAGTCCCAGTACATGTACCAGTACCAGTTGCTACTAGTACAGGACGCACCAGTCGAAGATCTCGGATTGCAAATCGCAGCAAAACGAATGACGGAATTGTGGGATTCAGGAACAACATTAACCCCAACCCTAACCTGGGAAATCCAAGAATGGCAATGACAAGCCCCTACCAAAATCAACTCTACCAGCACAATGGTAATGGGGGCCTAAGTGGGAGTAGTGGGAGACTTGCTACTATTGGCAACGGCAATGCCAATGCCAATGGCACTGGAGGACTTCGCAGAAGAAACAGCTTCAATGACAGCTTGAGCAGCATGAGCAGTCTGGAGGATTCTTGGAGTAACTTCAATGACAGCAACAACAACAACAACAGTAACAACAACCAGAAGAACAAACAAAACTTTCAAAATAAATCCATGCTGCATCTTGCACCACCAATATCAAAAAGAAACAATCAGGGACTTAACCAGGGAAATATACTCTTTTTTGAAGATGAAGATGACGACGAAGATGAACCCCCTACAGCCATTGCTTTCCCCAACAATGTACATGTAAGAAAGCCAAAACTCTCCAGACAAACCACTGCTCCATCTGCCTTCACCATGCCAAAGGCAGCGGCTCCTTATGCCAGACAGTACTCAAATGGAAGCTCCCAAAACAAAAACACCACCACCACCACTACCACTACCACTACCAGTACTACTATGGCCATGCATAGAGAACCATCACAGCTCAAAATCGTTGCAGGACAACGTCGCAGGTCTGTCAACGACTACTCACCCAGCGGCGTCACAATGCTCACCACGAACAATGCAAGCACCCACAGCAACACGGTCGTCTCACAACCCAGCATATCTACACCAAGAAACCCGCCTCGAAGGGCACACACGATGAACGAAGAGTCTAACCGGAGCGCGGGAAGTCAGGGAAGACGCATGGTGGCCCTTAGAGGACGCATGAACATGAACACGACCATGAGCATGAACGAAGACTCTAACCAGAGCCATGGCAATGGCAGTCAGGGGAGTCGCGTCGGCATGCGACGGATGGCGGCCATCAACCGCACACAGAGCAACCCTGCCAGTCTCGCTTCCAGCAACTACAACCGGCGTCAACAGCAACAGCAACATGAACAGCAACAGCAACAACAACAACAAGATACACAGTTCCGTCGCAGTATCGGTACTAGTATGCATAGAGGTAGTCCCACACGTCCCACACCACCTGAACGCACTTACAGCACTGGACCACCCAGAATCATCACAACCACCAACAACACCAACACACAAGTCGAACCAACCCATCGAAACAGCAACATTAGCCGCAACAGCAACAGCAGCAACCAATCCTTCTCAAGCAACAACAGCTACAGCAACAACAACACCATGATCGAAATACAACCGGGACTTGAAGCGCCACTACGAAACACACAAGAAACTATGGAAGCCATTGCCTGCAATTTTGTTACCGAGACATCCTGCCTCGCATGCACTGTACAGCTTTATCACATTGCAAATGCAAAATTCTATATTTGTCCAGCCTGCAGAGTCGTTAGTCCCACTTTTTCGGAACATCGCGATGAACATGGGGTTGGATTGGGATTTTCACAAGAAACGTTGAGAGAGTCACAACACAGTGCGGGTCAATCCATGCGGAACCGGTATTCTTACTAACTCACTAATTTACTTTACTTTTTACTTTACCAATGGAAGAAATAATGTTTGTTGTAGCTATCGATAGCCAGCTGGAGTGCGGAACTTCACGGAGGACAACACTTCGCCGCAAGGGTCGACACTGTCGATGGGCTGCGGCGAATCAAGCAAAGAAAGAAGCAACCGGCACTACTTTTGCTCTTTGATTCCATTTGATCCAGCTGAGGAGGCTCCTGCCACAGTTGTTTTGAGACTTCGTGTTGATTTGGCGCTCGCACTGATATCAATTCTTCTGCCATGGCATGGCATACAGTGTACAACGATCATGAGCTTGAACTTTAGAAGACTTTCAATTTACACAGACTCCACAGCACATGGAACAGCACAATCCACAACCCCCCAAAAAGATAAACGCCCATCCAAATCCATATGCAATTTCGACCCGTTGCATAATGTCCTCATGACAGGATCCGGAATCATCATCCATGTTTCCCGAGCCCATGGCATACCACGCCCCTCCCAGCACAAGCCATGTAACGTAGCCACAGGCAATCAAAATGTAGGCGGCCATCCAATAATCGTAGCAAAACAGCTTCCACATGCGATTGGCACCACCTACTGCGGTGCGTTGGAAACCAGTTTGTGGCAAGATGGAGTCATCCTTTTCAACCGCATAGGCCATGTAGAAGGCAGCCACAATGTGAACCAGCGAAAGCAACCAAAAGATCAACAACCAGAGACTTCCTGCACACCCATCAATGGCATTGGGCAAGTCAGAGAGACCCAATATGATGGGAGGAAGGTTCAAAATGCAAGTGACAGAAATATGACAAGAAAACCGTGATGAACAGCAGCGGGCGACAAGGCGACGGGATTCCTTGCAGCATTGGCCCAACCCTTCGCAGCAAGCACCACAGATCTTGGAGGGAAGCAAACAGATATGACCCACACATTCACAGCCGCCCTGGCATAGCTTGCTGATTCCGCCACACAAAACAGCGGCCATTCTTCTTGTTGGTACCGATTACAGATTACCGATACAGCCTGTGTCGCAGCTTTACTCGAGGGTACGGTATCAACAAACAGGATAAATGACAGGAGACAACAATGGTGTCCTTGCAGCAGGATCTTTAGCGTCACCAGGCATGTTCCGAGTGACCCCAGCCTTGCGCTCAAGTCCCACGGCGAGTCCTGCGGTTGTGCTGCTTCAAAGACTTTTCCTGGCGGTACGCCTTTCACCTCAGGCGTTGAAAACCATCAAGGTGCGCCAGGGAGAGCCGCACAGCATATCTGACTACCGGTACCGGTACCTAACCTAGCTGGATACCTCCAAAGACATGTCCTTGTGCCACTTTCTGAGGCTTCGCCATTAGGATGTTGTGGGCGGAGAAAACCCTGGTACGGCTGCAACAAAGGAGGTCAGTCAGAAGTGCAAAGAGGTTTGCCATGAAACACCTGATGGTGCCCACAACTTCGTCAAGAAGATGATGGATGCCATAGGCTTGAAACTGCGGGCATTTGGCCAATGACGCGGGTGGTTGGTCGGCTCAGCAGAGGTCGGTGGTTCAAGTTGCAGCCCAAGACATTACTTTTCCCTCATGTTACCGGTACAGCTGAAGCAGAAGTTTCGTTTACGTGTCACCGAGATCCTCCCGTTCTGTCTCGCTTGAGGCATTTTGTCAGATTTGAGTTGCACAATTATGTATGCCAAAACCACGGACTCAACATCATTGACACACTAGTGCGGTACAGAGGCGGTGGAACAGGCCGCTCTTGAGCCGCTTGGCGGCAAGTAAATGAGCGGATGTACATGGAAGCTCATTGCCGACTTCGGATGTTGGCGGAACAAGCCTCTCATGCACAGGAGGACGCAGAAGCTGCGCAAGAGCAAAGGACCGAGAAGACAATTAGTGGCGTCCATCCCCGAGCCCGACCAAGACAGCACTGGACTTGAAGACACAGCCGACGAGGAAGTCGGTTCTGAAACATTTCAGCGCAACAGTTCAAGTAGGATGCGTCTCAGGCAGACGTACTACCCATTGTGCTCGTCGCCAACGAAAGAGTGCGGCTAACCCTATTGTTGATAGCAGAAGAGGAGGAAGCCCACTGACTTGACACAGTTCCGTTGGCGGAAGACACCAATGGGCATGTGGGATGGGTCAAGGATGTCCATCCGGCCAGTCTCAGGATCGTGTATGCGCTTCAGCATCTCAATGACTTGCTTGTCTTTCATATCGACATGTAGTTCGAAAGCTACCGTGCACTAGTTAGTGTCTGCTTCTGTTGACTGCTACTGGGAGGCGTGCAATCTTAGCTATGCTCCCTTGTCCTTTGCTTCGTCTTGAACGTACTTGCAAAGGGCCACAGCGTTGGTAGCCCCAAGGAAATAGTCGTATCCCTACGCCTTCCAGCCAGAGAGGCATCGCCATCATGGACGTCAGTATTTCAGTGGGCTTCATTGAGAACGCTGTTCTGAATGAAGAGTAGCCATCGCAATGGGTCACTTATCTTACATGAATCTATTTTCCTTAGTATACTGGTTGATAGTGTGCTTCCTCTGGGCTACACTGAAAGGTCCTCATCTTCAAATTCGTTGGAGGTCACCGCCCTCGACTTCAGGGTGTCAGCAGACTCCTGCGGGGGTGGAACGGCAGGTGATGGGGAGATTGGCGTTGTAATGTTCAATCGAGCACTTTTGCGGAGACTACTGGCATCCGTCACGCCGCTGATTGCGCTTGCCAAAGACGGTGTGCTGGAAGGGTGGACCCAGAACGTCTGTAACTCTCCCTTACCCTTGGCAAATATCTTGTCTTCTCTTGGGATGATCCATTGCTCTTTACCTGCCGCCGCTAAGAGTTTGGCTGTTTCTTCAGAGCAATGGATCCGGTTTGGTTCGCCATTACTCTCCATTCTACTGGCAGTATTCACTGAATCTCCAAACACTTGGAAGCGGGCCTTTTCTCCGCTGCAAACAAGGACAACGTTAGAAGAGTCTCCTGGAGGTATCTTCGCCACGAAAACAAGCTACGTACCGAAGCACTCCCGCAGTTACGGGACCACTGTGAAGCCCAACTCGAATCGCCAATGCGCTGGTGTCCAATTGAGCATCCAATTTGGCTGTGATCCTGGCCATTTGCAACAGGCAATCCCTTGCAAACTTCGTAACCTGGATGGCATGATTTGGGTTAGGTTTCGGAAGGCCTAGAGCAGGAAGAAGTGTCAAGATGGTGAGAATTAAGAGATGAGCAAACGGACTTGCCTGTTCACGATGCAAGCAGAGTTCAAAGCGTACCACAAACTGCCAAGTAGCAATCGCCTAGAATCAAGTTGTAAAACGAAAAGGAGACAATCCAAGTCAGACAACGAGCTGGATCAGCGCCTGAACTGTTCACGCGAACTGCAATTCACTGCACTAACCAATGGTCTCGATTTTGAAGATGCCGTGTTTCCTTGCCACCTTATCCCACGCAGCATAGATCGTCTCCAATAGCGTGAAAACTTCACCGGGTGTTCGTTGGGCACTCCAGGCTGTGACGAATGTTGCTTCTGGTGAGACCAGTCATGAAACAGAGACAGACACAAGCAAGCAAAGAGGAGAAACATCACAAGCAAGCCTTACCCGTGAAGCCCACGATATCGGCAAAGAAAACACTGCAATCGGGATACGATTCGGCCATATGGCTGGGTTCTTGGGCGGCAGCTAAAGGCGCTTCAATGTCTCCATCCGCCGAAAGCTGTGGCACATTCTTGGTGTGAAAGGCTGCGAGGCCACCACCACCAGAGCTGGCTGCGGTTGCATCCTGTTTGTTGTTTTTCTTTTGGTCGCTGTATAGTTGATCCTTGAACTGTTCCGGGAACAAGGACGATACGATCGCTCCAGATGCCACAGCCTTGTCCATGACAGTTTTCTGTCTTCGTTCCACTAGGATATCGTATAGGAAGAAGGAAGCGGCCGTGACAACAAAGACGACTGCAATGACAATGGCTCCAACAAATGGCTGACTTGTGGTGTAATCGTCCTTGGTAGCCTGCGAGGGATAGATGCGTAGTTGATAACTACAGTATTCACCATCCAATCCGACGACCGTGTAGGAAGATGTGGATGTGGACTGCTTCTGCTGTTGGAGTATCTCGACTAGATCAGTGGAGATCATGAGATGGTCAAAGTGAGGATCGTGAAAGTCTCCTTCTCCCATAACTGCGTGTCCACGAGTCGAGTCATGCATGCAAGAGACCCAATTCAAGTTAGAACAAGACGTGAATGAATGAATGAATGACGACGGATGTGCCTGTACTTACATGTGACTATGGGTCCATCGATTTGGTAGGTGTATGTCTGATTGAATGTGTTTTGCACAACGATCTGAATTCCATGACTGTTTTGGGGTAGGATGTTTGCAAAGAATACTCGAAAGTATATGTGTGACACCAGGATTCCGACCATTTTGCGCGTGTCCGTGTCAAATCCATCAAACACTGGATATAGGAGTTGTGTGAGTGCTCCTCCTCCGTATTCCTTTTCGTCGTGACGGTATTGTCCATGTAGGATCCATTGATTGAATGCGGACGCATTTGTGTGTAGCTTTGCCTTGTTGAAAGTAGCCTTGGAAGTGTCTAGTACCCGTTTCATGACGTTTTTGTAGGAGGGTGCAGTCATGTAATCTTTGTTTCTTAGGTCGGTGGCTCGTTTTCGTTCGGGTGACATTTGCCATCGGACGACGTAGGGTGAGTTATTGTAGGGTCGTTCCACGTTGGCCTGGCAGTGCAGGGTATGCAATCAAATAATCAAGCAATCAAGCAATAAGCAAGTTCGTAAGAAGCGGAAAGTTGCAGCTTCATGACAAGAAGAGATCAGAATGCGCGGTGTGACATGATGTGACTTACCTTGGTCCCATTATCGTCCGTGACAGTTTCAAAAACGAACGGTCTGAAGGGTTCAGTGTCTTCTTCTTTCCATGGGACAAGCGGTTCATCTAGATCCATGAGGTCGAAATCTTGGTTTGCCCGAAGTTCGTAGTCATGGTAAGCTTCCTTTCTTAAAAAGTCTGTTTCGTTTGTGATTTGTGAGCAGTAGTCTTGCCATTGGTCTCGCTCTCGATCGTCCCAAATGACGGGGAAGTATCCAATGATGACCGAGGACGACTGCACTCGAGCCGCGGCCGTTTTTACGGAAAAGCTGGGAATGGTGACCATGGGAAAGGTGGCATTTACGGCTTGGGCGTAGGCTGTGACGTCGATGGAGTACATGTCCAAGGCGCCCAATCGCAGCTTCAAAGATGAGTGCACGGACTCCAACAGCTTGTTCGCGTAGTCCGCGTAGTGGCGCTCGAAATCTTGAATCTCGTCTCCGCGGGAATAGAAATAGACCAACGCACAAACGCCCACAGTGGCTGCAATCAACACCAACAGAATCAGACGACGGATCCACTGCACGCGTTGATTCTCCTTCTCGCGAACCAACAACTTGCGTTCCAGGGCCAACCGATCACTACCAGCATTGGCATTGGCACCAGCATTGGAGGCAATCCCGCTTCGCTCCGTCAAGTCCATCTCCTCCGCGTCGGCAAACGAAGAACCATCAGACACTTCGTCGTTCGTACCAGTACCAGTACCACCAACACCATCTCGAGTCCATGGTTGCTCAGGCTTACGATTAGTCGTACTAGTAGTAACCCGCTCTTCTTCTAACTTCTTCAAAGAGTTGCGAAAGGTCTCCATTATTCTTCTTTCTCGAATTTTTTCTGTGAATTTGTGAGAGGACCAAAGCAGTTTCCTACCAAATGCAATACAGTAATAGTAATGACTGCGAAAGACTTCTCATCATCAACTATCAACTATTAATAACTGAGTACTGGTATGAAGGAGCCATGCCAAAGAGCACTGGATGATAATTCGTTACAAGTGCTGGTAGTATAACTCGATGTCTCGATCGAAAGAAGTACCGGTACAGTGAGAAATAAATAATGACGAAATGCCTGAGAACGCCAATAGAAATTCAACAAAACAAGAAGCTTCAAGTTTAAAAGTGAAGTCACAACACGAATCTTCCGAAAGAAAATGGGCAGATGGCATTCCAATTCGCATACTCGTACTGGTGCCGTACATGTAGTACGGTACTCCTTGCCCATAATAATATATATGTACTCCGTGCTCCGTACTCCTTCTTTGAGTATTGTACTACTAGTATTAATAGTACCGGTACCGGTACCTGGTACAGGAGATTTCTTTTGGATGTTTCTTTCGAGGGCTCCGAGGTCGAGCCCGGAATTAACGCAAAAGCCCAAAAGGCTGCCGAGTGTCCTGCTGTGACACCCAGGATTTCCTCTTGTATCAGGTGTCACAGGCAAAAAGACTTAACTTTGAGTCAAAGCAGTTAAAGACTTAAAGGATTGTATTGTCAACCCTAACAGAATGATTGAAGATTCCGGAAACACGCTGGACCGTGCGACTGTCTTCACTCAGGATTTAAAAAACTAGAAATTCCCACGACTGAGGACCGTTTGAAAACATGCCCTTAAACATGCCCTTAAAAATTCCCTTTTAATAAACATGCCCTTAAAACACGCCCTTAAATGAGATCCAGTCGTGGCAGCTTTTTAAAGCCTGAGCGAAAACCGTCGGACGGTCCTGGTACTCAAGTTTCACAGGGCGATGATGCAGTTGCGGTACAAGTAGCAATACGTACCGTAGATTACACTAGCTTACTACTAGCTAATACAATATTCCCCTTTTTAATTGGCTGAGGTGCACACTGAAGCAGGACGCCTAAAGACGTCACACACTTTGCTGTCTCCTTTCATCGTCGAGTCATTGAAGGAGCTCTGCGTCCTTGATTGTCACCATGCAGCCATTGACTTTTCTTGATAGCATGGCTAGCTAGCTACCAGCAGTACAATACTGTAGTCACTATTGAAGCGCATGTGTGCTAGTAATCAAGATGGCAGCAAGGAAACTCAAAAAGACTGGAGGATTTCAAGGAAAGGAGGCAGTGGGAGCTCAGTGTTATGGATTGGGAAAGACAAGTTTAGTTTCGGTGCAGTTGGTGTTGATGATCTTGTTAGTGACATAGCTGGTGGTGAACAAACGCGATCTGTCTCGATTTCGCTTGGAAGTTCAATCCTTATCAAAGGTATTCAGTTGGGAGATGGCCATGCAAAAGAATGAGACAAAGCAAAATGCCATTACTTCCTAATACAGTACCGGTAGTATTGGGACACCCAAGACAGTAGTCAATCGACAACTTCAAGAGCCTGGAAATGGAAATGACACCCTGACTTCAAGTACAATCAAGGATGAATGCACGTTTGTTTGCAACATTAATGCCAACTATCACCAGATCAAGCCTCCAACAGCAACCATTATTGTTGTTTGCTAGTAATACTGCAGCTTATTGGGGAGTAATTTTGTTTTAGATTAAGCTGAAAAGCAAAAGTGAGGATTTTCTGGTGGCTGACATCAATTCTTGTGATTGAATTGGATATAAGGACCCCCGTAACACTTTAGACCTAAAACCCCCTTGGTTCCTTGCATCATGAATATGCACGCGAACCGGACTAGATGATTAATACACAAGTCAATAGTAAAGAGGTGTCAGGAATATTTCCTCCAACACACTTCTGCACGGTGCCCTGAGTGTGTTGGAGGAAACATACCTGACACCTCTTTACTATTGACTCGTGTGTTAATCATCTAGTCCGGTTCGCATGTAAATTCATCATGCAAGGAACCAAGGGAGTTTTAGGTCTAAAGTGCTACGGGGGTCCTTATATCCAATTCAATCACAAGAATTGCTATGCACCACCAGAAAATCCTCACTTTTGCTTTTCAGCTTAATCTAAAACCAAATTACTCCCCAATAAGCTGCAGTATTACTAGCAAACAACACTGAAAAGCAAAAGTCTCATCTCGAGTTCGAAGCAAGATCAACCATCTCGAGATTGATATCACCAAGTTGATCCAAGACTATCAAGTCAAAGTGTATTGAGTTAACACCTGCAACAGAGAAGAGGTGCGCAGAATCAGCCTCTAGCTACACTATAAAGGATACCAAAAGGCTCTAACAGGAAAGAGGTGCTTGCTTACTTTTTCACGTGGGAGCGACTACCGACTCCCACCTCTGAACCTGTCAACCGAAACGACTATAATAGCAACAACGATAATAATACGACGGTCACTTCTATACCATCACCATCACCATACCTATTAGCACCCCCGGAAGCATTGAAACGAAGCGAAAGGACCTCGGGAAGCCTGTTATCTGTTATTTCGTTGAAGAGTACTGTTTTACTATAGGAATCCACTCAACGTCATCACGGAAAACAAACATCCTCTTTTCCTCTCTCCATCTCTCATTCAAGCCGAAAGGATCAACAGGATCGATACCTCCTATCTCCTGCGCACCTCTCCTATCAAGCGACTATCAACGCGGCGTTCTCCGGTCCAGATTAGAAAGCCATCCCAATTGAAATCCTACGAGATCGGGCGGGTTTTCTATTCTCGACCGCCGACGGCCAAGTTGGAAGAATTTGACCACAAGAAGAAGTCTCCGGTCTTCCACAGCACAGTACAGAAAACAATTCCCATACGTATACGTTGTTTTCTGAACTAAGCTCCTGACGACCGCCGAAATCCCATTGTCGCTCCTCTTTTCGAACGATCGATCTTTTTTCTCCACAACAACAGGCTCGGTCAACCTTAACCCTAAGGCAACCGGTGACGTTGATTCGAATCGAATCGCGAATCGAATCGATCTCTGAATCGAATCGATCCAAGACCCGCTACTCCGTGAATCGACTTCCCGCGACCGTACCTCTTCCTCTGTACCTCTTCCTCCGTACGCAACCTCCTATCATCAAGAAGGACTTCACCAGATACCTGCAGTGACCACCGAGAAGAGAATTACACCTGTATTCTTACTTTCTCACCGGCCACTAGTGGTTTCTCCCGACGTCCTTGTTGGAACTGATCCTACTGATCCAACCAGTCCTATCCCTATACAGACTGATTGACTGATCGACACCTGCTGTTACAACCCTCCATTGATATCTAACTCCTCACCAAGAGGAACAACAAACAACAACAGAGTTCCTGTAAGGACTTGAGTTCAAGAGTACACCGGCTGCATAAGAGCTCCCTGCAGTCAGTCGTCCTCCTCAAACTTTACCACTCATACATTGATATCTAACTCCTCTCCCAGAGGAACAACAAACAACAACAGAGTTCCTGTAAGGAATTGAGTTGCCACCAGTTGGATACTGTCTCAGCTTGTACTTTGGGTCCACTGAGCACAGTCTCCGATGAGATTATGCCATAGGAGCCATAGTATGGGTGCGGTGCAGCTGTGCTGGCTCAGTCTGGTGGAAAGATCGCTGCTGCATCTGTACACTCTTTCAGTACAATGAGCTGTGTCACCATCAGACAAGATAGGAACAGCTGTAGAGGACATAGAGTTCCTCTGCAAGAAAGGATGATGCTGTTCCTCATCCAGGACCTGTCTAGATAGATGGCTTGATCTATACCAGCCAAAAGAGATGCATGGATCTGTATCCTGCATGGCTGGATGATGGCGTTTCACGCAAAATCAAAGTTTGTGTTCATGTTATAGTTTAAAGAAGTAATGAAGAAGTAGTTGACCTGAGAAACAGACCCAACAGCACAAGTAGAGCTCTGCAGTAGACAGGATCCTGTATGGCCAGTGCCAGGGTATTGAGCAATTAGACTGTTCAATCATTGCTTCCATAGTGATTGAATAGCATTGGCTGCCAGCCTTGGGCTGGCCTTTCCAGCGCCAGTGGAAGGAGATCTCCACCAACAGGGCTCTCCATCCCAGCTCTTGTGCACCTACCAGCTGAGTTCCTTTGGAATTCATAGGATTAACTTGTCGCAAGCACACAAGAGTGGCTAGTGTGGAAATCGTACGGAGGAAGAAGAGAGAAGAGGATTCGATTCATCGCGATCAGCCTGCCGACACAGTAAACGACCGAAAACTGGAATCGCGACCGATTGAGTCCAAACCAAGACGGGTGTAAAATACTCGTTAGTTTAACAAACTATGGCCACGGAGTGGCTTTTATGACGCGGGCAAGTGGTGGGGAAGCCCCCACCTAGCTGAGTCGTCATCTACTTATTTGCCCAATCAACATGACCTCATCCACTGGCCCAACGTGGAGCCAGCACCAAGTAGACAGATGCCCTGGGTAGGGGGGTGAGCACATTGATAGGGAACCTGCAGCGCAAAACCTGGGTTACAGGGGCTTACAACAGGATTTTTTCGGTATTGAAACCATTAACACCATAGGGACCGTGAGGACACGTTAGATTGCCAGACCAAAGAGTGCTCGCCAGTAAGTGTGTCTGGGTGATCAGGTCCCAAGCTGGTGCAAGTGCCTTGGCATGCAATGCAAGATGCCAGCAGAGCCCGTAGGAGGTGGTACTCCTCAGGGTGGACCAGAGCAGGGTGTAAACCATCAAATGCACAAAAATTGTAAGATAGAGGAACAGCAGCAGAAGATGGGTCAAATGACACACTGGCAGTGTGTGGTTCCCGGGAGGGAGGCACAGTGGCTTGTGGAGTGTGTTGGGCTGTTCGAGGGGTTGTTGAGTCAATAGAAGGAGGAGGATAAGGGGGCACTGGAAGTGGGCTGGTGCACGGGGCAGGAGGGGAGATCTGGTTGGTGTTGGAGTGTTGTTGTAGGGGTTGGGATGTGGCATGGTGGATG